GTGTGACTGTGAGCAAAGGTGCCCCCTGTTCCGTTTCACCACAGAGACAGAGGAAGAGAGAGGTGAGGTGGGGGTGAGCAGTGCACGTGGAGGAGCGAAGAGGGAGAGACAGCAAGCACAGGCTTTGGCAGGAGACGAGAGAGTGAAAGACAGCAGGGGTGAGCCCTGCTGTGAGAAGGAGAGAGAGGCGGATATGAGAGAGGAAAGAAAGGCAGGGGGAGAGATCAATTTTTCATCCCTGTGGTGCCAGTGGGCACTGTTTCCAGTCAAGTGAGAGATGAGAAATTTAATATTAATACAAAGTCTCGTATTTTATTCCAGGGCCTGTGTGTGACTCGGTGCATGTGTCTCAGAGCAGGCAGGGAGCTTGGTGCCTGTGTCAGTGTGTGACTGTCAAGTGTGTGTGCATGCGTGTATATCAGTGTGTGACTGTCAGTGTGTGTGCATGCATGTATATCAGTGTGTTACTGTCGGTCTGTGACTGTCAGTATGAGTGCAAGAGTGTATATCAGTGTGTGACTGTCAGTGTGTGTGCATGTGTGTACAGTATGTCAGCGTGTGACTGTCAAGTGTGTGTGCATGCATGTATATCAGTGTGTGACTGTCAGTGTGTGTGCATGTGGATGTGATGAAGTTATGACAGAGGGACTCCATCCTCTCTTATATAAAGAGAAATCTGTCTGCTGTCTGACACCAGTACTGAACACTGAACCCTAAACACAGATGAGCTCCATCCTCTCTTATATAAAGAGAAATCTGTCTCCTGTCTGACACCAGTACTGAACACTGAACCCTAAACACAGACAGGGCTCAACACCGCCTTTACCCCAGAGGTCTGTTGTTCTGTCTTCGTCATCCTCCTGTCTTTCAACATGTATCTCTGTTAGAACAGCACAGCTGGCCAGCAGCGCGAACCCGGTCTGGCCACTTTATTTAGGCCCTGTGAGCCCTGTGTTGGGGGTTGACTCACTGATTTCTGATTTACTTCAGCTGAAACAATGGCGCTCTGAAACCAGGGAGTGTTCTCTCCGGGTTGGTGATTAGGGGGCTGTGCAGCTTGGAAGTTAGAACCCTGGGATAACAGCTGGAAGGGTGAGGCTCCAGGTCTCCACTGTGGGCGCTGCTGTTGTGGTCCTCTATCCTGCTGGCTCTGCTCCGCCCGGCTCCAGAACGCCTTCTTCTGATCACGAATCGGTAGCAGCCAAGCCTGATCTTGCCGATCTTGACGCAGAAGCCCCTGCAGAAACAGTGCTGCCCATCCCTGCTCTTCTTGGGATATCTATGGATGCCATGTCCAGACATCCGGGAAGAATTCCAACTCCTGAGACTGGAATAACCCTGGAAAACCTCTTTACTCTTTCTCCTGGGTGTTGAGCTCTGACCTTACAACAA